ATTCAAAGGATGTTATTATTTTGAAAATAAAACTGGGCTTAAGGCTATTTGGATGACTCTCTGATCCTAAATTGACTCTTTGGTATTAGCAGCAGAGATATGAGGATTTGACATAAGGCGAGTCAATATGGAGACAGAGCGTAGAAGGAGTTCAGTGCAGAAGAGTGAAGGGGCCATAGGGTGCTGCCAAGTTTTTAGAAGAGCCAGAGATGCCTTTTCAACTTCCTTTAAATTCCTTCGCCTTGCATTCTACGCTGTATATGTGCATTAACTTTGCATTCAGCCGCTGAACCTATCTCTCTCTCCCTTTTTCCTAAAGCTCTCACACACTGGGCAGAAAGTGAAGGGAAGTGGCAATTGAATTTCCTTTCAGCAGTGGTGTGTGGAATGGGAAAAAGTTCAGGGCCACAGTGCTAGCCTCTATCGCACACAGACACTACACGCAGCCTTAATCCATTCCTCTGCCCTTCCCCTTCGTCCACACATACGTGTCTCCAAATCCCCTCCACTCTCCTCTCCTGGAATAAATTATTTCATTTCTTTTCGGTCCACAGCATTTTTTTTCCCCCCGTCTTCATGGTGCGCTTCAACTGCTGTCCCTGCGGAGAGCCCTGATGAATGTGTTGGACTCACACTCTCTGATCATCTCTGCTCTGAACGCCTTTAGATACACACTGGCTTCTGGCTGCCTCCAATGAACATAAAGACTCTCTCCTTCCCTTGCCCTCCTCTCTCTCTCTCTCTCTCTCTCTCTCTCTCTCTCTTAGACTCACAAATACACAAAGGAATAAAACAAGCTATAGAACAGCTCGGGATCCTTTATCTTTCTCTTTGCATGCACAAACTCTGCAGAAACACAAACACATTTTCATTTTCCTCTGAGGAGACGAACCGGCGCTGTTGTTCCTTGTTCAGATTAATGATGACATTTAAGAACACTGAACAATTTCAAATAACATCTATAATTCAGCCGGGAACATACGTTCAACAATGTGTGGAATTCAGTCCATATTGCTGAGCTCATGAATATGGAGAAAAGCTGCAAATGAATTATTCTTTTTTATAATTGGAGTCTCAGGACGTGTGTGCGTGCGTGCGTGCGTGCGTGCGTGCGTGCGTGCGTGCGTGCGTGCGTGCGTGCGTGCGTGCGTGCGTGCGTGCGTGCGTGTGTGCGTGTGTGTGTGTGTGTGTGTGTGTGTGTGAGAGAAACGTGTTCACAGGGGCTCATGTAAACACATTGACACGTTAATGAAAGCAGTTGCACTCTCTCTTTGGTCAAGTTGTAATGTTGTGTTGTCGCTCTGATTGAGGTGGCGTGGAATGCCTCCTAGAGCCCCCAAACGATGTCGGCTAAGACCCCGTCTTCCTCGCTGGCATGCGCGCGTTTCCCAATGGAACACAGCCTGACAACAAGAGATTGGGATTCGATAAGGATAAGTGAGCGCTCTGTTTCATCCTGATCACTGGGGGATTCACTTCGAACTTCTAACACACCAAAAAAGCACACACACAGAAACCCGATCCCCCCTGGCAGGCGGTCCTCCAGTGGTATCAATTAAGAAGCTGGTCCAATCAATGTCTTAGCACAAGCCTGATACTCAACTACAAGAAGATTAACACTAAGCTTACATCTTAACACAAAGGATCCAGCCACATAAGGATACATACAAAAGACCCCCCACCCACCCACTTACGACACATAAACACACGTTACACTGCGCAACACATACAGATCTTAGCTCAACATCCCTCCTATTCGGCTGCTGTGTCTGTTGCTTCTGGCGGCATTTGTGCCTTAAGACACTTGAGGAAAAGATCACAATAATGGAATGTGTACTTTTTCTGTCTCTCACTGTCATTTTTCTCTCTCCTCTTGTCTCTCCCTTTGTACAGCTTAAGTCTGACCTAAATGCTTCAGGTTTTTGATGATTGGACCAAAGCAAAGATCAGAGGCATTCGGGGGGGCTTCTCGTGATATTGGACTGAAAGGGAATGGAGGCTGAAGAGCCGGACACACTCACACATAGATACTGGTTCTTACCAAACTTCAGAAGTGTACAACATGGAGCTTGTAAACCAGCCGAACCATATCCTCATGACTGCAGAATTCATCATCTTAAAACTTGCTCAGTACTTTACCTTTCACCCTGCCGTGAGATGAAAAAGCTGCATTGTATCAGCTGTGTGCCCTCCACCAAGCCAGCGATAATCCAGGCCTTGGTGGGAGGGGGAGGGGGGGTCCCATCATTCACACACTTGGAGGGGACACCAGAGAACCTTTAACATTGGCTTGTGACAACACCTTGAGATCAAAGAGCCAGTAATGCAGCGATGGCAGCCGGCCCACCAGTTAATGATCTTCTTTCTTTTTCTAGCTTAATACAGATCTATACTGCTCACTACGATCACTGCACTGACATATGGCCACCTACACACACACACACACACACACACACACACACACACACACACACACACACACACACACACACACATACACACATTGTCTTTCCACCAAACACTCACAGCCACCTGAACAGTCAGGGCAGGAAACATAGAGGTCAAAGAATGCCTCACCAGTTTTCTAAGTGCACCCATTCATTTTTCATTTAATGATGTGAGAGGATGTGATAGGTGTAAGCACCGTGATGAAGTCCCCTCCAATCCCATCACCGCCTGCTCCTTCCTTCCTGCAGGACATGAAATAAGGACGGGCAGCTTTGACCAGGTGGAGAGTTTCAAAATGTTTCAATCAGGTTAGAGTACAGCTCTGCTTCCTCAGCTGAATTTTAGTCAGTGTTGAAAGATGAATTGTGAAGTTCATTAAGAAAACTAATGCTTTTAGCTGTTACACTTTTGAGGTGAGATTTTTATTGTACACATGAATCATAGTTTTCTACCTTCCAAGTTTACCAAGCAGAATATTTAAATTTTTACTTTCAAGGAAAAGGATAATTGGACTAATGATGAAATGAAGGGTTGTTTGGAAGAAAGATGAAATTGTACAGAACGGAGTGTTTATTCTGGCACAACGTCAGCTTAAAACTTGCCTCGCTCTGATTTCAAGCTTAAATAAATGTGATAAAACCCTCACACTAGGGCGTCTCAAACGAAAGTGAGTATCAGATGCAACAAGAGGATGGTTTCATCCCTTGTCATATTTCATTATAAAAATTCAACAATGAAAATTGGAAACAAAACATAATTCTGAAAAAAAGATATCAGTGCTTTTTTGTGTGACCAAAATAAATGAATTATCGGACTCAAAATATGGCCTGCTAGGATCCTCAACATTTAATTTCAATTGAATATGATTTCTTCAAAAGCAAGTGAATGAGCCAATAATGCAGAGTGATGACTGGAAAAGTATCCATTTGAAAAGATTGAAAATTATGTCGCTATTTTGATCCTGCTACATCCCAAAATATGTTCCCCATTTACAACAGGCGTCACTTTGCACAGCTTTCAGTATTTCACCTGGATGATCAGAGAAAAACTCATGTTAATGCAGTTTATCAGCTGTACCACATTTGGAGGCGATCAGCAATGCAATGTAAATGTAATCTGTAGAGTGTGAACACTTTCTAACTACAAACAATTACCCACAAAGTTGAAGTGCCTTTTCCTTTGTCTCTTCCTGCTAGCTTAAGTCGCCAAAATGCTAATCGGTATCTAGCAAGTCTTAGCTTGAATGAATTCCTTTTCTTGAAGTCTACCATCTCTAACTAATTTGCATATTGAGTGATCACAGTACTGCAGAAATAAAGATAATAAGAACAGTCATTAATACCAGGTCTCCTTGATCAGATGTTATTCTGATACAGACCTCATGTTAATACAAGGTGCTAATGGGGCCTTTGTTGCATTTTCCCCATCTCTCTGTTCTCATTTCCTGTTGCCTCTCCTATATCTCCAATTACAGAGTGAAAATACACAGAAATACTTGTTCCATCTGTGACTTTGACTACAGGAATCGTTATGTCTTTAAATCAATCAAGAAACCAATCTATTTATCAGCTTTATAACGTGCTAAATCAGAACACATCAAAGTCAGCCACCAATAATCTTTTAAACCATTGTGATGCATGTGCTGTTGGAACTCTGTGTGCGTAGTGTCCAGGGAGAGACAAGCAAAGCACACCTCAGCTCTCTGAAGTGGCTTCACTTCTCTAAACACTGATCTGATAAGATAGGAGCGAACCCCACCAGGAATTTTTTTTCAGAGCTGATGATAGCTGAGGCACGCAGAGAAGAGACCCACTTTGGCCCTCGTCTTGAGACACTCCGAGAAAAGAAAGTGAATTCCACCTGAGAGGAAGAAGAAACCATGGCCGGTTATTGGTTTTGGCCCCGTCAGACTGACCCAAAAAAAAAAACACAAGCATCTGCTTCTATTATTTGATGGCCAGGCAACAATATGTGCTTGGCACCATCACCAATCACTGCACAAAAGGAGAGTGGTCCCCTGACTCAAGGACGCACATGGGTGAAAAATTATGACTGCTTCGATCCCACCACTCATTGACTAAACACAGATTCAATTAAACCAGGCTGAAGGTCATGAGGTAATACAATATAAGCGAGTCTGGCATGGTGCTTAATGGAAGTTCTCATGGCTCTGGTAATATTTAATCCAACAGCCAACCCTGACCACCCCTGCGTGTCAGCCATTCATATTCCCCTGAGTGCTGTCATAACCTGAGTGTGGGGAGGGATTGTGTTTTAAATTCACAGACCAGAGTTAACAAACCGTGTGACTTGATGTTGCCAGTTAAAGAAAAATCAACGTGTTGTTGATGAAAACAGCGCCGGTGACAGAGAAGAAGGAACTGATAAAGATCAGAGGGACGGAGGGAGGGAGGCAGAAAAGGAGGGGGGTGACACAGGTGCGGAGGTAGTAAAGTACAGTGGGCGGGGAGTGAATACTATGGGAGGGAGAGAAGGAGGGAGGGAGGGAGCGAGGGAGGGAGCGAGAGAAAAAAGGAGATAAGGAGGGAACAGACGAAGGAATTTGTGAGGAACCGAAAGCAGTGGAGGGCAGCTAACGTGAGAGGAAGGAGCCTCGGCAGACAGCAAGGGTTACACATGAGAAGTCTGAGGAGGGAATCAAACAAAGCAAACAGGGTGCAGGGAGAGAAAGAGCAGGTAGAGTTGGTTGGATTTCCAGCTTACCTCACAGCTAATTACTACTTTCTCACTGTGGTGAAGGAAAAGCAAACAGAAACTAAGTCAGAGAAAACTGCAAACAGAAAGGATAGAAGAAGAAGGTAGGAGAGGAAAAAGCAGAAGTAACAAAGACAGACGTTAAAAAAAATAGCAAATAATTGAGGAAGAGAAATAAATAAAGTAGAAAGAACAGGCTTTGAGGAGGGAGCGAGGCGAGGAAGGCAAGAAAACAGCAGATACTCATTGACAGAGAGGACTGGACTAACTCCATGGATTACTGACATCAGCAAAACAAAGGAAGAGGACCGTCAGAAAAAAAAAAGAGGTCACTGCAGTCCAGCAATAGTGTAGCCTGCCTGAGCCTGTCTACAATGCAACCAAGACAGCTGAGATAGACAGACACAAGCACAGACACAGTTCATAAAGACAGTCCTCTGTGTAACTGCACCATGTTGATGAAAGAGTACCGCATATGTATGCCACTCACTGTGGATGAGGTAAGTGTGTTTGTCTTTGCCACACACACACACAGACACACACAAACACCCTGTTACAGCTTTAAATTCAAAAGGTTTTGTTTCCAATGTGAAAGCTCTACTTGTAATCTTGAAAGTGTTAACGTGCTGATAAGAAAAGTGCCAACAGAGCGCACAGACCTCCTGCGGCGGCTCTGTGGGGGCTCTGGCACGCTGGGCAGCGAGGAATGTTGTGCACTGGCGAGCTCAGGCCTATCTGATGGAGCCAAAGCACAACACCTGGCTAGCAGCGACATCATAACACTAGTGTGTCTAAATTATCTCTCCTTCTGTTTGATTCTTCGCTTTCCTCGCTTGCGTTAGTACTCCGAGCAAAACTAGTCAGACTGGTTACGGTTTCCACAGGACCCAAACAGGCATTTGGCCTGCAGGCTAGTAAACAATGGAGATCCTGCAGGAGAGAAAAGGTGGGTTGACTCTGGAGATATGCACCAAAGTGCCCTTCAGAAGGAATGTCCTCATCACCTCCTGTACCATCCTCCCCCCTCCCTTCAATTCTACCTGTTACCACAACAATGACAGTGACAAATAGCAGTCCAAAATAGGATTTACAGTATCAGTACACAGCAGACAGAAACGTGAGCTTGCAGCAAATCCTCTTTTCCCTGAATGTAATGTAAGTTTAAGTGCAGCTTATTTAAGGCACAATCATATCATCACTTACCTTAGTCCAAACCATTAACGATGTCCTAACCCTCGCTTTATTTTTAAAAGCAAATATTGTTGATTTGCAGATATGAAAAATACCCCAGTACTTCTGTAACCATAGACTGTAAATAGTCTGTAACACAATACAGCTCAGCTTTGTGAATGAATGTTCAATGAGGTGTCAGGTAAAGGCTTTAGCTTAGGTGTTAAAGTAGGTTAGCAAGATCAGGTTTCCATCTTTATGAGCACAGGTGGAAAATGTCTTTGAGTAAGACACTGATACCACATCGTTCTGTGTTTATACAAGACAGAGGAGGACACAATTGAAGGTACTCAAATGTGCTTATCCCATCATTCTACCTGTAACATCACATTGGAACCAAGTCAGTGCTGTTCCCTTTGTAACAGTTAATTATAGTCCCAATTCATTAGTTTTGCAGAAAGGAAAAAACATTCCTTGCTCCTTCCTGCTTTCTTTATCACATGTGATTTTGGTCAGTTTTCACATGCGATCTTCACAATCAGAATGCTCAGGTACTGTAAAAGCATCCGGTCAATAATATAAAGGATACCAAGTGTTTGTCATTGGTCAAAATGCAAATGCTATACGATGCTATCAAACTATGCTAGCCAAATATGAGAAGAATTAAATGTGTTCCATCCTAATCTTGGAAAATGAAACGTTTCCAGCTCAACAGTCATATGTCCTACTTAAATCTGACAACAGCCTATTTTGTATGAATGGATAATCAAAATACTTGCAAAATGGCTGCAGAATATCAGAACATGCCCGAATATACTGGTGCTGGGTTTTCATGTTTTTCCCTACTCCATTAGAAGAGATATATCATGGAAAGTAATCTATACATGGTAGCATTCATGTTTGCATAAGTATCTATCCCTTTTAGACGGTACCACAGATATTAACACAGGAGAAGTACTGGTCACAGAACAAGAAATTGGCATAAAATCTGCCCCCAGCAGGCCACCTTACAAACCACGTGGATATTATTTCCCTGGTTTGAAGTCTAAAAAGGAAGTAATCTAATTTGATTCAACCTTGTGCCCATGACACATGAGGTCTATGAAACTTTTTTTAGGCACTGTTCTTCACCGCTTGATGGGCTTGATCTCTGATGATTTTTATTTAGGACTGAGGCTAAAGATCCTTTGGAGCTGAATACTAACTACGCCAATTTCAAATATTCAGTTATATTTGTATTTTGCATAAAACCGTTTTATTTTTGTTGTCAGCAGACAGATCTAGTGTTGCATAACAAATACAAGTCTTTGCTCTGAGCATTTTATCATTGGTAATAACAACAGTGGCTTTGAGCTGTGCTTCCTTTTAATCATAAATTCTTTCATTTTCCATGCCCGTCACATTGACACTATTTGCAGAGGCTCCAGCCCACAAAGATGAGCTATATTTACACTTCTCAGGAATTTATGACAAACTCACGGCTTGTTAACTTATCCTGGCCTTCTAATTTAAAGACAGAAGGAGGAAAAGGCATGCCAAATGTGTCTGAAATGAGTTTCTCAATATATCATTCATCACAGCCATTCACGGTAGTCCTATTGAAAAGTGATTTAAGGAGAGATAAGTCTTTTCAACTTCCTGCTTAGATTAGGTGTCTAGGAAGTCAGAAAGATTCACAACCTGTTTGTGTGAATGACTCACTGCTCCATAGTCTGCTAAGCACCCATCGCTTTGATTAATTAAGCCCCATGAATACCCAATAAGTAAATATTGAATGTTGACATTCTACCGTAATTGGAACAAGTAGGAGGAGTGTCACATTGATGTCAGCAGACAACAGTGAAGGATGGAAAACTGAAATCTGCCCTCCTCTTTCTCACTTTCTCCCCATCTTTCTCTGTTTGTGTTTTTAATTAAAACAATGCTGTACTTGCACACCAATATAGGCCATCACAATGGATTACATTGTGGTGGCCACAGCAGAACAGTTCTGTTGTTTTAAAGTATCATTTTATTGCTTCTATAATAACTTGAAAACAAACTTCACTGAATGATTTGCAATTAAAGTAAACGAAAAAAGTGTACATAGACACACAGTGTTAAGGAGAAAAAGTCTGAAAATAGCAGTGGGTGCAAATAATGAAGTGTTATTGTGTAGAGCATCTGATTTGTGCATTGTCTGAGAGGGAAAAAGGGATTCTGTCAGGCTGAGCTCATCCACATGCCCAAAGGCCTCGTCCTCTTTAGAAAATATTTATCCAGCCTCATCAGCATCGAGCAAAAACTAGGGCTGCAGCAGAAAAACAAATCCCCCCTAATTTAGACACCATGCATTCCCACACACTGGCTAAATTAGAGTTTGACGTCTGATATGGTCACTTGAGGTTAATCTTCATACACAGCAAACTACTACTCAGAGCAAATACAATAAGTCTGAACTGAAGCAGCACTCACTGCTGAACGTGCTGCAAGGAGATTTTTCTATCCTAACCCTCACCAGATACTTCTGCTTAGTGGCTGATGGTTGTAATCATTTCCCCAATGGAGTGTGCAGTTCATTGATAAGACCTGAGTAGATTTTTGGTAATTGAAGTCCCCAACAAGTCCTTTTTATCGTAGCGCCAAATCTTGTGGGATATTTTTAACTTAAACTGCTTCTTACATTTTGAGTCAAGTCATTTAACTAACCTACCCTCTAATCGCAAATTTGCATCAAGGAGCTTAAAACATGTGTACAGCATGCACATCAAGCTGCATCTTAAAACATCCACAGGAAAAACTCAGAGAGAGCATTAAACAGAAAATGAAAGAAACCTTTTGAAGAGCAACAAAGGATGGTCCGTTCTTCCCAAAAAGTATGTGGACGAATTCTAAAAAGTTAAAAAGAGATTTCTGAACAACAATTCAGCTATGGGTTGGTGCTGAATGCTTGAATTTTGTTCAAAGAAGAACCCGAGTCCTTGTCAGACTGCAGTTATAGCATTAGGTAGCTTTAGCCTCCAAAAGCAGCAGAAATCAAACCAACAAATTCAAACCTTAAGCAAGATAAAGCAATAATCACTTTTGATTTAAACCTTCAAATCACAAGAGGTGAAAAGTGTTTTTCTTTTCCAGGGACTGTAAAAGAAGTCGAGGGTTTGAGTGACCTGCATTCTTTCTTTTTGCCAGCAAGGGGGATCAACGGTAGTAGTTAGAAAAACTGCATGGCATAGGAGTCTATGAGAAAACAACTCTACATCTAGTTTGATTTAAAACATGTTTTAATTTGTTTATGGTTTCAAGTCTTTTTCAACCTGTCATGTTCATCACTTTGTAAATTACTTTGTCATTTAGAATGAAATAGACAATGTGCAGGGTGCTGCGAGGCTTCTTGTGATAGAAAGGGGCAATCTCTCAATCAGGTTAAAGGCTAAGCAATTTGTATCCGCTCTTTCACACAAACATGGAAACTTCTGAAACAAAAATAAAAAGATGGTGATTGACATTGACTGTGTGACATATTTGTGGCAAAGTCTACCTCCTTTATACAGTCTATGGGTCTTTTAAAAGTGTCATGGTATCATTATAATACATTAAAGATGAAAATAAGGGCCTGTCAGCCTATTTAAAAAATTTTCCTGCATGGACCACCACCATCAAGCAGCACTGTGTTGTTGAAAGGGACACTCATTCACTTTGGATGGCATGTTGAGGATTATGAAATTAATTTGGCTTCTTGTTTTGCTTTTGTTTTTTTCTCACCACAACTTGTTTTCTCTTTCACTTTCTTTGACCAATCCTCATCCATATCCACCATAACCCCCATCCTACACTTCTTCTCTGGTTCCAGTACAGGATCGGGCAGCTGTATATGATCAGTAAGCACAGCTGTGAGCAAAGTGGTGGAGGAGAAGGGGTGGAGGTGGTGACGAATGAAACGAATATTCACCCCCAGCATGGACAGGGACAGCTGACCGAGAAGAGAATCTACCTCAGCAGGTAGTATAATGCAGCCATACTAATGATGTACTTAGACTCATAATTCTGGCTATTACCACCCTAAGCTTTTATCCTTATGTTGTCAGCTCTGTCATTATGATAACTGATAGGGATTGATCTTTGATCGCTTACATCACTGTAAAGCTTTACGTCCTATGGTTAGCAGCCTCAGGTCTGACTGACAGGCAATAAAATGTTTCGACACAGTAACGCTCACAGTGCAGAGTAACCTTCTCCCATCTGAAATCCAAGTCCCCACAGCCTGGAACATGTTAAGTCCTGTACTGTGAGGTTACAGGAGAGCTGTTATCATACCATGAGCTCATCTTGTAGTAAATCCTTCAAGTGGTATGGTTGACTTCCAGCTGAGACAAACACGTCCATGTCATCGCTATTGCAGCATACTTCAGAATTTTTAGGATTGTCATTCCTCTGTTGTCAAACTGTAACCATGTTTGCTCATAAGAAATGATAGACATAATGTTTTTTTATTGATGGCTAATTTTAGGTTTATTCATTCAAATGATAACACTTTACTTTAACACCCTCTAAAACTGTTCTAAACAAGTGATGAATGTTTTCATTATGATGCATTAAAGGCTGTAGTTGGAAGCAGACATAAGAACATTTTTATCAGTTAATTTTCGGAATATTTCAGTTCATTGGGGATTTTGCTTCAGTTGGATGAGAAGATAATTTGAGTACAGTTTTTTGTCTGTGCAATAAATATGTAGTAGCTGTTAGCCTTACTTTTCATAGATGTCAGCGTGGCTCTAACCAAGGGGTATACAATTCTACAAGCACTTCCCAGAAGTGGATCTTTTAATCTGTACAAAATTCTTAAAGAAAAACAGTTTTATGTTTGATGGGGGTCTTTGCTGGACTCCTTGTTAGCTTAGAGCAGTTGCCAGGCAACCTGCAAAGACTCAAGGAAGTTATACTGCTTTGACCTAAGATATCTAAAATCTAGATATGGTCCAGCACAAGTGTAGATAGGTGGATTTGTGTTACCTTAGTCAAGTTAGTTGTTCCATCATTTACACTCTTTTTTTTAGCTTTATATTTATCATATTAAAGACATGAGAGTGGCAATGCATCTTCTCAGCTAACTGCCCACAGCTAATACACAAAATGATGGTGTGTTTTTTTTTTTTTTTTCAAACACAGCACAAGAGCTACTGTTATTAAAGAAGCAAGGAGAGGTTTGAGGAAATGTCATCATTGATATGTTAAAATGATTGTTCAATCTCAGGAATTTAAAGATGTGCACGACTGAAGTGCTCATGTTATTGTGCTAAAATTATGAGTTTATTTGCTTTTTGCTCAGGGAGAAAATCCATTAATTAATGAATTGTGATTCAAATGAACTCTCAGTAAAAAAAAAAAATCTCTTTTAACTCTCAATGTATTTCCTAACCCTAAGCTAACCTCAATCATTACCCTAATGTAACCTCAACTCTTATTCTAATCACCACTATAAACCCAAGGCCTAATCCTAAAATAAACTCCTAGAGAAGTAAAGAAATGTTCTCACTGTGGAGGATTTTCCTAATCTTTCTGTGCTTGTGGGACATTTGGTCCTCATTAGTAAAGATACAGTGGAACACACGCGCACACACACACACACACACGCACACACACACACTAACACACACACAAATACATACCACACATACATAAGTACAGTGAGTGCCGAATGTATTCTACCTCAATCATGTTCTGACATGTGACCTAGAAGCTACAGTAACAATTCATCACCACAGGTGTAATTGGGAATGAGTCACACAAATGAACGCAGTGGTGCGAGTAGCCTACAGGTAATCTGGGTATAAATGGCACAAAAACCACTTACGATCTCTCCGTCTCCCTCCATAATCTCCCCCTCTCCTTCTCTTCCACTCTCTAACTGTGATTCGTCTTTCATCCTGTTTTTTTTTTTGCTTTTCAGTAAACTGCCATCCTGGATTAAAGCGTTTGTCCCTCGTTTCTTCTATGTGACAGAAAAGGCCTGGAACTTTTATCCATACACAATCACAGGTGTGCATTTGAGTGCCTTTGTTTGTGTTAAACATCAGGTTACTTTCACCTCAATGCATTACACAAAACTTATTTACTTTTACCAGCTGGTTTTCCAAGTACCATCAAATATTTATCCTTATGTATGAGTGTATTCCCCTGTGGTAACGTGAATGTGTATGTGAGTGTAAATGCGTGCTCATGCATGTATGAGTAACTAATGCTGTTTCTCCCTATCCATATTGAACGTCCCTGGTGCTGCAGAGTACTCAGTAAGTATTCTCACACATCATTTACTGTACATGAATGCAACAGAGCTCATCTCTTTGCTGTATCAGTGGATCTAATCTGCAGCCTGTTTCCACTCTCTCTATCTGTGCCCTCAACCCATTTTTCTACGTTTTTACCTCTTGTAACCCTGCAGGTATCATTCCTCCCCAAATTCACCATCCGTATTGAGACGAGATTCGAGAACAACAACGGCGATAACAGCAATGTGAGTATAACGCAGAGGGAGTAAGAAGTGCGAAAGATGGAGTGATTAGACAAGAAGGAGAGGGGAGAAATTGCAATTTGCTCTGCGGCACATAAAAAAAAAAGTTCATCCAATTGATGTTCCCGTTACTAGGAAAACAGGGAAAACACAATGTTATATTGGCAGATCTATTAACCACTCATGCAGTGGCCTTAAGCACGGCTGCATTTTATCCAAAGTGAACATACATACTCACACATATACACACACAAGCTTCATAAACAATTGCTACTGTGTCTGCCCCTTGTGTCTGTGCTGTGTAATCGAGGAAGGTGTGAGGCAACAAGATTCAACAAGTCAAAATACAGAGAGAAAATCTGGAGGATCTTGTTTCATTTCAGGCCGTTACGTGTTATATAAGTCAACTCCACACAAACACACATCATGCATGATGTACACACAACATTGTAAAAAGCTTCATAGGTCAGTGGTGAAAAGTACACTCACTCAGAACTATACTATCTGAGGTACTTTGCCTTCTATCAATGCCACTATATGTTTCTCTACATTACCAATAAGAGGAAGATATTGTCATTTTTACCTTAATGTCACAATTTTCTTTAGAAATAAGTTTGTACAAATAAAACCTCTTGCTTAAAAAATGACAAGACTTTGATAAAGATTAAAATATCAAACAGTACAAGGAGAGCTGAAATTGTTTTCGTTGTGTTTTTGGCAGTTTTCCTTGTAATTACTGTATGTTGATAATATATTTTTTATTTAAACAAAAAAGTTGAAAATAAGAGGAAGAAATGTACAGTAAGGGATTTTTCACCGTAAAAGATAGTTTAAAAAACACTCCACTTCCATCCAAAGAAAACCTAATAATGCTACATGGACATTACATTTCCATTCATAACAATCTTAAGTTATCATGCCATTAAAGTTGTGGTGCTTGAACAACATTTTCCTGATTACGTTCCATATGTCCTACCTTTTACTTCAGCTGTATAGAAGGCTTTTATCTGAAGCAGCCATGTATTGAAGAAGAGCCTTTATTATTTCTCCTTCCCTCTGCCTGATTTGTATAAAAGGTCAGGGTTTTTTTTCACCCCATATTTCATTTTCTCCCTTTACTGTAGTACTGTTAATGTAATTGCTCCTTCACTGGGCTTTTATTATGAAACACTGCCAGTAATGTGTTGTGGAAAACACATACAGGACCTTTAAATGTAGCTGCTGCCACATGTATGTCACTTTAAAATAGTTTGTCTGACACATTAACACGTAGACACACGCAGTGACTGAGAACCCAACACATTACACAAGTAATCTGGAACAGTTTAATACTGAAAATAACATAATTAAACTGTGGAATTAACTATCCTTGGTGTGCATGTACATAATATAAAAGCCACCCTGAGTTTATTCCCCCTCTTTTTTTGTCCCCAGGCTGTTTTTGAGACTGGCCTGGAAATGTTCGGTTGGCAAATTTTTAATACACAGCTTTTATTTGACTGCTGGCTGTTAAGAAGCACTGTTCATATTTTTAATGTACTAACATTTAAAAATGAATGATTTTTATTTGTAATGGAGTATTTTTACAGTTTGATATCCAGCTTCTTCTTTTTTTCATTGTTGAATGTATCCTCCTCCACCGTCTTTGTTTTGTTTTGAAAAACAACACTAGAAACAAAGAGAGACAAATATGAGGAAAACATGATGAGCGTCACGCCCTGAACACAAACTGAGAAGCAACACAATGCAGATGCTGCAACACATTCCATAAGAGCGAACAGGAACCTTGGGGAGACACGGACCAACAACAGCACCACGGGAGCGTAGCCTGCTCTTATCTTACAGCGGGTTTTTCTTATTTGTTAGTTTTCAACTGTGAAATGAACAACTTGAGCGAGGCTTTAGAGCACATTTTAAACAAGGTCAGATAAAGGTGCACTCTCCTAGGTCTCCCTTCATTCTCTCTCAAGGAAAAGTGTATTCTGCTCTCATAACTCTTCTTTTCCCCTCTCTTTAATATCCCCCATACGTCCTTGTTTTTTTTATTATTCCTCCTTGTCTCTCCCTCCTCTGCTCTCTGTGTCTTTGCTCTCCTCTCTGCTCCACTGTGATTTGCTCCAAGGGCCTCAGGGTAGGATATAGTGAGGGGTGTTATGGTGTGTGACCTCAGTTTTCTACACAGTTACTCATCTACTCCCATCCACTGAGTGAGTGACTGTATGTGTGTGAGAGTATCAGTTGATGTATGTGTGTCTGTGCTCATTATACTGTATGACCTCCTCCATCTGTTTGGCTGTAGGTGTTTGGGGACACTCCAACCCCGGCAAAGAATGTGAGTTTCCTGGATATCCTGAGTGACCCCATCCCGGAAAAGCACTACAAAGAGTCAGAGGTACATACTGTACTGTTACAAGGGCATGTGCTATCAAAACAGACAAATACAAATGATTGTACAGCTTTGTTTAGATTGACAACTGTCATGGGAAAAGTCGTGTGATTGCCTTAGAAGAATAGTTCAGAATATCTTGAAATATAATTAAAGTAAAATAATGATAACACATGTATCTGCATTAAAAGTAGTGAGGTCATATCTGGTGACAATCAGCCCAGCTGATCATTAAGACTCGGAGTTGGGAAAGTGCTGGCCTGGTGGTTTTCAGTGTTTTAAAATAAACACGTTAAAACCTCTTCATGTTACAACTTAATTTTCTCAAGCTAAAAGTGTGGAATCTTTTTTTTCAGTTTTCTTTACAACAAGGCTCGCTGTTCACTCAAGTGTTTATTTTAGGAGAATCTGAGCTGATCACCTTCAGGCCCTGTCTCCATATTAAGTGAACTGATATGAGAGAGCTGTGAATCATCTAATGTACACAAAACAAAGGTGTACAGTATTTCTGAAAAATGTTGGACTGTCTTGTGTTTTTCTCCTGAAAGGAGTAAAACACCCACACACTCCTTTTTAATCTGCCTATGTTCATGTCCTCCCAGCCAATATTTTACACGCCTTTACTCCCTTTAAATCCTCAGAGATAAAGGTCAATTTGCAGGCCAGACACAGAAAATTGCAGATAAGTGTACCTCAACAACACAGAAGCATGAACATACACAAACACATAATGCATGCACACTCAAAAAAAACATAACACAAACACACCAATCTGTTTGATGAGGTGATACAGTGAGAACATAAAATCACAGACACTTTCCAATCATCCTTTTGTCACAGTTGCCTAATGTGTGTTATCACACTTTCCTCTTATGGGCTGTGTTGAGCAACATTCCACTTGCACCGCCACATTGCACACACAAACACACTTGAGGTACACAAAAGCAGTAAACATCTATAGTTTCTCCCTGAAGACGACTCACAGGGCCAAAGTTTGTTTTTTTGCAGATTCAGCAAATAACGTGTAGACTGTTTGCTCTGTGCAGGACCTGAGTCTTTGGCAGTCCAGCAAAACTGGCCGGGGGCCTCTGGGAAAAGGCTGGAGAGAGGAGCACAAGCCTGTTATGTGCTCCTATAAGAGGGTGCAGTGCAGCTTTGAGGTGTACGGCTTCCAGACCAGGACTGAGGAGTTCATCCACAGAGTGAGACAGAGCTTTTACTCCCATCATTCCCTTTCCCAAATATAAAGACAGTCGGATTAGGATATGATGCGTTATGTCAGGAGTCCTTAAAGGTGTACTGGAAGGTGGAGAAAAAATAAATTTACAGCTAATTGAATTTGATAAAGTATATCCTACTTCTTTCAAACAGTGATTTCTTTAAGTTGGAGTTTCTCACTTTGTAGGTTTACAGTAAAATGATGAATTAAATCAGTTATGATTGGTCTATTGAGTGTGCTATGTGTTGTAGTTTGACACAAATAAATCATTAGCGCATTATTTTTCAGACATTATTATAACTACCAAGATCACTGCCAAGAAGGCTGTTAGCCTTAAATGACCTCTGTACTCTGTTTAATGGTGATCCACCATTAGGTCCTATTCTTTAGGAAAGTCAATGTATTGTTTTATGCATCAATACAGACAAAGGGCTTCTCTTCTTCATGCGCAAAAAACAAAACAGGTTACACACAATGATGGATGATGGAACAAGATAAACTTGTCAAAAATATCTGTTCAATCGCATGTTTGCAGTCAGTGAAGCAATGTAATGTAGCATGTAGAAAAACAAAAGAGCAAAACTGGCAACTCCCCTTTCCCAACGTCTTTGCGGTTAACAGAAGCGTTTACAGGAAAGTAGCTTTCGCTTTGACTAAAGCAAACATTTAAGTGCCAAACTTTTACATAATGCTGTGTGTTGTATGTTATTCTAAAAGACCTGCAAACATCCAAATTCAAAGCACTATTTGATTATTCTCCTGTTTCATTTCAGAACATTCAGGACATTCTTCTGGTTGGCCACAGGCAAGCTGTAGCGTGGATAGATGAATGGCATGGTGGGTTAGAAATACAGGCACATTGCAACATTTTACATATTGCAAAAACAACATCTAGAGCAATGCTGTTGTACTTGTACTCTAAATATGACTGTAACCTCAATACACTATGTAACAGTGAATCCATAATTCATACTCCGCTATGATACATGCTGTGTGTGTGCTTGTGTGTGTGTTTCTGTGTACATTTGTCTCCCCACAGGCCTGAGCTTGGAGGAGGTGAGAGAGTTTGAGCAGGCGATGCAAGAGAAGACCAACAGCAAACTCAAATCAAGCCAGAACAACGCAGGTGAGATAGCAACTCCTGACCTATACACCTGACTATACTGAAATAGCAAAGAGGAGGGTAGACATAGGGTTGATGGGGTGAGGAGCAAATGTGGATGGAAAAGTGAGAGAGAATGTATAGAAAGAGATTGAGATTAAGGTTTGAAATGTATATTTGAAAAGTAATTTCAGCATAATATAAGCAGCCTGAGATGTACAGAGAGGCTAAATAGGCTGTATTCAAATTTTTTAGTTCATTACCAACTAACAACAAATCTGAACAAGTATTCTGTACATGCTAAGCTTTCTATGATATCCATTCTTGTCCACGGACTGCATAAAACTTTGAATTAATAACTTGCTAATACTGAAAGGCTTGAACACAGGCTGGTTGCACCACTAGTGCCGGAGTTGTGCCCTACAAGTGCCCAGATGGCTAGTGTACATCTGTGGATGGGAAGAAAGAGAGAGACGAGTAGTCAGGAGGCATTTCACTACACAAGGAGCAGCAAGAAGGGAGAAGCAGAGGGTGTGAGCCCAGAAAAAGACAGATGTAGAGGGGGGGGGGGGGAAGAGTGGAGGCTTGCTCATGAAGTGATAATGCCACTGCGTCGCTCTGATAAACAGTGTAATGCAGCCACCTGCTGAACTCTCCCCATCACCATCGCCTTTCAACATAAATAACCAGCTATTGCAGCACTTAGCTGCAAATGTCAGCCCTGGTGGGGGTCTATGTCTGGGCATATGTGCTGTGTGTTGCGTGTGCATGTGTGTGAGTGTGTGTGTGTGTGTGTGTGTGTGTGTGTGTGTGTGTGTGTGTGTGTGTGTGTGTGTGCATGGTAATCCTGCCCCCTGCTGGTTGGTCTGGTGAACCTCAGCTTGATGGGAGACATATCAAAGGTAGAATTCCCAATATGGCCTGTAGCGTCGTTCTGCCTGCTCTCTCACTCTCCCCCTCTGTGTGTGATGATGAGAGATATCAAGCTGCAACAAATCTGCAGTCATTGCTCAACCTGCTGCAGCTTGCTGCACCGCCATGACCCCCTACAGGCCAAACGCTGCTACTGTGCTAATCTCTGCATAGCCCTGCACACAATTTTCATTCATCCGCTGTAATAAAAGTAAATGGATGTCATTTACTCCAGAGAGTCTAATAAAAAGTCGGAAGTGTGAGGTGAATATGAATAAGGGATTTAGATAATGTGCATCTAAGTGTACGACAAAGGTCTTAAGTATACTCTCATTAATTGAAAACTCAAACACAGAGTCCTTCTGTTCCTTTTCTGCTCAGTGCCTCTTTGGATGTTTCCCCTTTTTTTTTTTTCCGTCTTCTTTTTCTTACATTTAAGTGAAAAACATCTCTTTCTTTTCTTCTTTCTGTCTTTCATCTCTCAGTCTCTAAACTTCAATTTCAATGCGTTTTATTAGCACGGCATGTGGAGAAGAGGAATTGTGGATACATTAAAAAGAAACAACTAATCTATCTACAATTAATTTATATATCTGTCTGTCTGTCTGTAAATATGTCTATCTATTTATTTATTTCAGGCCCGGCAGCTGCCCCTCGTCCTGTTTTTTCTCGCTCCATCTCAGTGACAGACGAGCGTTCCCTGAAGAAGATGGGAGTGACGACAACGGCAATGTCTGACCCCTCTCCCTCCTCTGGGCCTCAAACTCCTGTTCGCCTCAACTCCACCCCAGAATAATGACACACACACACACGCACACACACAAACACACACACATACTGTTTTCACACAGAATCCCATGTCAACAGTCAACAGAGTCATATGAGGTTTCTCTCGGACATCAACACACACATGCAAACAATGATTTAAACATCATTCTACAGCCAACCGAGGAAAACATTTGTTAACTCTTTTCGGGAGAGACGGTTGACAAAATCTGAAAAATTTGAATTCGTAGCTGTTGAATTCAAGGCAAATGCATTTAGCAAGTGAACTTTGATTAGCATAAGGACTTGAAACAAGAGAAACAGCTAGCTCGGTTATGCGCAAAGGAAATAATAATATTCCAACTAATATTTCAAAAGTTCACACAAACTGTTTCTTGTTGGATTAATATACACATAAGAATAAGTATAAAAATGACATTTTGATGGTGGTTAATTATCCATCCCCTAAATTACCGTAATTACTAAATTGATGTTTTAAACATCAAAACCAAACATTAATAAATCATCTGCTGATGTACTAATGGGGGAATTTTGGACACATATGACATATGGCTAGCTTCTCCCACCTGTTACCAGTCTTTGTGATAAAATATTGGAAGCTACCTGGAAGCTAGCTCCATAAAATTGCATGTTGATAAAAGTGCAGTATTGATCTTTTAATCCATCTCTCAAACAGAATGAATAAGCATATTTCCCAAAAATGTCTGAGGACTCCTGCAGAAATATCTATCTGTTCCTTTGCAAACATAGTATTCGCACATGATGTTTAAGCTGCACAAACACACACACAAGCTCTATGCGCCTGCTCAAAGACAATTTCTACTGTTGCCTTTGAAAATACTCAGTGCTTTCTCTCAGCTCCTCAGCCAGAGAGGAGCCCCTCGACCACCAGCAGGGCTCTCGATTGTTTCTCAGCCCCCAGCCAGCAGCCTACAGACAGATGCATAAGGAGTTTAATAGAGTGGATCTAATGAGAAAGCAGAGGAGAACGATGGAGACTGTCAATGCTATGGATCGGCTCCCCTCTCCACCTAGGTCAGACCTGGTGTATTGATAGAGGGCAGTGAGGCTTTGTATTGGTTCCTTGATCGCTTAGCTGAGGGCGGCAAATGGGTCAAGCCATGGATAAACTTCAATTATAAATCAATGATGTGAGCATTTATAAGACTATTAGCTTAATTTTTGTAATACACTTTAAGGGGAGAATGGCTTCTCGTCATCAGGGATGAACAAAAAACAACAACGAACTAACACAATTCTTGTTGCCTTATTTGTAAAAATGTTGAGTTTTAATGAAGAATGAAAACTGATCATTTTCTGATAATAAGTAGAAAATTCATGTTGAAATCACGCTGTACAGTCTTTTGTAATGGATTTTTTTTCAATAAATACAATTTCACTCTAGTGAGTAGATGTCTTGATATCTCGCTGGATAAGCGGAAAAAAATGGACTCTGTGCACACATTATCAGCCATGTTTGATCAGTATTGACCTGTAAAGATGGACCAGCCGCTGGCATATCACAGCACTCACACGTAATCCACTCACCAATTTCACACTTGTGTGCCTTGTGGAACTGGTTTCAGCAGCAGTGGACATAAAGAGAGGCAGACACTTGGTCCACATGTAGCTCTAAGCATTTTTTCTCTCTCTGTAACACAGAGGAGGATAATGAATGTTTAACAGATGCAAGGTTGTGAGCTGGGCGTGTGTGTGCACACCTGTTATCTCTGTCTCACTTTATTGTTCAGGATTTTAGGGCAAAAGTCCATGGAGAGACGTGCAGTTTCATTTGACTGACAGACATCGCAGCTTGCTTCAAATGCTGCTCTTGAAAGCTCACATCATGAGTCTCATTATGGCGTCTTTTATCCCTACAAATCAAGAGCCAGCATGAAACTTTGTTGTTAGCTCCCAACATAAGGCTTACAGACGTGCATCCACATTCACATATAAATACATGCACGCAAAACTCTTTATCTCAATGCCTCTCCTTATAGCAGCAGCAGGAGGCTGATATAAAAGAGAAAGTGCTCAACACAGCCAGGAGTGCTCACAAGTGCTGCAGAGGGAGCAAAAAGCTGTCGCCTGCACTGCATTAACATCCTTCTCTTTTACTTCTTTGTCTCTTCCATTAAATTTTCTCTCTCATTATTGCCATCTCCCATCCCTCTCCTTTCTCTTCCTTTATTCTCCCTCTCTCATTCTTGAAATCTCCCTTGATCTCCCTTTCTTTCACTCCTCTTTATCTGCTTGTCCTCATCTTCGTTTCTTTAGAGAGCCTCTAAAGAAGATGTACTATGTTCATTATATGGAAATGTCCCCCATGGTACATTATCATAGATCCTGACCCTGTAGCGCTGAATCATCTAGCTATTCCCAGTTCACCCATCAGACCCCACAAATAGCATGGCAGGGGAACAACAGAATGCTTCCAGAGCTGCAGCAAGAAAAAGCTGCAGCGCCGTCCCCTGCACTGTACTCTACTGTAAAGATGCTTTCATGTGAAACGTTGAGCTGGCCAAATATGGGCACACAAGAAAGGGATGGAGAGGACATTGGACAGAAAAGATGAGGAAAGTATGAAAAAAAACAATGAATAGAATAGAGGATTAAGGGCAGAAACCTCAATGCATAATAAAGAATACAATTTAGAAAGTCTGACAGCTTTACAAAGCAGTCAGGTGTGTGTGTGTGTGTGTGTGTGTGTGTGTGTGTGTGTGTGTGTGTGTGCACTTCTACATAATCACTCCTCCACCTTAATGGCTTTTGCCTAACCACGCTGATGTACAAGCTTCTCCTCCAGATCAATACATGCTCTCCATTCACTAGACAGACAGTAATGCAGCTTCTTCATTTGTTGGATGTGTGTGTGTGTGTGTGTGTGTGTGTGTGTGGGCAAACAGGACCATTTTGCTGTGTAGTATCTTTAAATCAGCCGTAAAAGTATAGTGACCATTAAGCCACATAGTTTAGCATGTCACTAACTTAATGGTTTCTTCCACATGCCTACACTGTTTTATGAGAATTCAATGGTGTGTGTGTGTGCGCGCGCGTGCGTGCGTGCGTGTGTGCGTGCGTGCGTGCGTGCGTGCGTGCGTGTGTGTGTGTGTGTGCGCGTGTGTGCGCGATGACTTAGGTCCACAGCTGGCCATCATTCAATCAGGCTTAAACCAAACTCTCAGGTAAATGTATTTAAATGATGCTAAGAACACACCTGGAGTGTGTTTACGTGTAAGTTCATACTGAGCGCTGCTCCTGGTGGCTGGTGCTGGGTTTTTAGCGAGTCACTTACACGTCACTCTTCTTTCATGTTAGTTGCTTGTAAATCCTTACAGGCCTTCAGATGACAGTGGAACAGGTTACATACTGAAGGACTGAGTCAACTTAACCATGCTTTTTCACTTTAGTGGATTCCTTAAGTTAAAGTTTCCAACTGAAGGGAAACCGAAGGAGCAGGAATGAAACATTTTGTTGATCAAATAAGAATTAATTTACCGTATTTTCCGCACTATAAGGCGCACTTAAAAGCCTTTAATTTTCTCAAAAAACGACAGTGCGCCTTATAATCCGGAGCGCCTTATATATGGATCAATTGGTTAATTGGTTGATCCATACTGGTTGTACACGGCGCTCAGCGACACTGACTCGGATAATGACGAGAGGGAGCCGGGCATGTTGGATGCCGTACTCGCCCAACTGTTCAATTCGGACACTGAAGAAGAAGAATTCGAGGGATTCGTGGACGGGGAATGAACTGAAAAAGTGAGCTTTATGTGTTATACGTAACTGAACAATGTTGAGTTATGCACTAACGTTTGAATTAGCGGTATCAGACTGTGTTTCTTTTACGTGTTTACAACTGAACTAGGCTGGGAGATATTGTGAATATGCACATTAACGTTTGAACAACGTTGAGTTATTGTGAATGCACTACGTATAAAACGTAGTTTGTTTCTGTTTTATACGTATTTATATTTATATTTATATATTCACAATATCTCCCAGCCTTGTTCAGTTGTAAACACGTTCTATTCTATGCGCCTTATAATCCGGTGCGCCCTATATATGAAAACAGTTCTAAAATAGGCCATTCATTGAAGGTGCGCCTTATAATCCGGTGCGCTTTATAGTGCGGAAAATACGGTACCCATTCTGTGATTTAGGAATAATCCAAGTACTCAAGGATAACCACCCAGATTCATGCGAGAGATTGTGTGCGTGAGTATCCAGTAGAAGACATTACATTGGGTTATGATGTCCCTATTACAACAAACAAGAGTGTGTGAATCAACAACCAGAAAGTCCAGTCTCAAGTGAGCAAATGCAAGGAGATTTGCAGGATCATTAAATTATGCAACTTCTTGAAAATATTGATTTGAGAATTATTTTGTGTTAAAGACTTGTCCTTGCTATTCTACATCTTTAACATGCAACATGCTGAACATTCTCTTGCTTTTATGACACAAAGTAATGGGGTAAAAAATACTTCTAAATATCTAAACTCTACCTTGGAAACCCATCAAAAAAGTTTTTAACTGTGTTATTGTATTAGACCTGATCAGGACATGACAAACTTATGTAATCTTTATGAAAAATGGATCTTATAAACAATGCATTTATGCACATCACATTTACAGAAAAGGAGTTCACACTTGGACTTTACAGCATAAATGGAGTCTGGGTCAGCCATTGGTTCCCAACATGTAAAATGGTATAGTAAAAATCTGATAATCCGCAGTATCACAAAAATTAGCATGAAATGTGAACTGGGGATTTCAACATATAGACACAAAGAAAAATACACTGATCATTTGATATAGGACAAATATTAAGATGACACTGAGCTGGGGAACATTGGACCCTGGGTACATAGTAACACTCCCCTGCGGTCCCCTGTCGGCTATAGACATTGACAAATGTTTACTCTTAGGTAAAATGTGGAGAGACAGACATACTCCAGCATGAAGCTAAAAAAGATAGAAAATAAAAAAGCAGAATAAATACAATCGTAACCTATTTAATCCTTTTTTATTGCATTTTATACAGTTGTGTTTAAACTATGCACACTTTAAAAGAGTGCAGCAGAGTTTTGTCTGACCGAGATTGGAAACAAAGCCTGACATAATGAGGAAAGTTTTAATCAGACTTTCTGCTGTCGTGACATTATTTTCATTATCCAGCGTATGGAAGTATATTAATGACAAAACATTTTACAGGCTATACAACTAAGTTTTGCATTATGATGTCAGCATGATGAACAAGGAATATCTAAAACGAGATGATAATTAATGACTAAAACACCCATTCACAATCTCTGCATTTTAAGAGGCAGCCTTGACAAACTAAAGTACAGATGCTTTAAAAGGAGGGCAAAATCAGGATTCTGGAAAAAGTTCTTGAAGATAAAATAATTGGTGACATGGCTGTGTCGTAAATTATTTTAAAGTGAACGCTTTAAAGATGCACAAAGCATTTAATCTTACCCAGGTGAGATTTAAAACACACGCTGAGGACGTGCAGTGTTTTTACAGATCTATGTCTTGATGTAAGAAATGAAGTTACAAGGACTTCCAGAGATTTATTTGTGTGTGTGTGTGTGTGTGTGTGTGTGTGTGTGTGTGTGTGTGTGTGTGTGTGTGTGTGTGTGTGTGTGTGTGTGTGTGTGTGTGTGTGTGTGTGTGTGTGTGTGTGTGTGTGAAGGAGAGAGAAAAGGGGATGTGTTTTGATCATATTTAAAGAGCCCATATTATGCCCTTTTTGGGGTTCATATATTTAATCTATGTTCCTACTTTTGTACATTCACAATAGCTAAAGTCCGAAAAAAGTGTTTGTTTTCATGTACTGCTCCTCCTTGCTCCCTCTACGCTCTGAGTCCGTCAGCTACGCTCTACTGAGCCCCCACTGTTAGACCCCACGTGGGCCAAGTCTGCTCTGATTGGTCTGCCGATCCGCTCTGGCGTTATTGGTCAGTTGCTCAGCACGCGCCTCGGAAATTTCAACATGAGCTGCAGGGCTTGCCACAACGAGCCAATGGGCTTAGATCAGTGATCTCACACTGACAATGACGTCGGACTGACAAATTTTTATGGAGAGGGGCTAGAACCGAGCGTTACATGCAGCTAATGCTAGAGCTAACAGGAGGAGGTAGGAGAAGCCGCGTTTCCGCAGACTTTGAATTTTGAAAAAGCATAATATGGGACCTTTAAGGGTGTCATGTGGTGTTATAAATGTAACAATAGCACATTGAATGCATTTTACCATCCACTGTGTGATTATTGGGTTCTGATATTGCATGCGTGTGTGTGTGTGTGTGTGTGTGGCTGTGTTTGTGTGTGTGTGTGTGTGTGTGGTGTGTGTGGTGTGTGTGTGTGGGTTTGAATTCCCACAAGTGTAAGTCTTTC